CAGGGAAAGTTTAGATAGGAAAATTTCTTCACTGAAACGGTTGTTAAACACTGAAAAGGGGTGCCTTAAGGCAGTGGTGAGATCACCAAACGTGTTTAAAGAAGTGTGGAGTTGGCACTTGAGGACATGTTCTTGTGGTGGAGATAACAGTGTTAGGTTAAAGGTTGAACTTTATGATTTTAGAGGTCTTCTCCAACTTTAATGATTCTATGATCCTGTGAAAAAAGTGAAGTCAAGGATTATGTCTTTAAAGATGTAGTAGCCATCCCCAAGTCAGCTGCCTTTGTATTGGATTATTAACATTAGGTGTTGAAAAATAAAATAGTTTTTGATACAGTAGTCCTGTGTATTTCTGAAAGAACTTGTATTTGTAAGAATGTCCTGTCGGAGTCACTGTTTTTCTTTGTTGGCTGATCCAGCCTATCACCACCAATGCTATTACTGTAGGAACTACCAAGGAAGTGGTTTTGTGACCACTGATCCTGGATCAGATTTACTATCAGATTATCCCCTAATGTAGCTTCGATCAGGCAGCCAAGCTATCACATTTCTTAAGTTAATAAGAGTATGCAATATATCATTTGTGCTAACTTAATGCCTACTGTGGGAGGAAATACAGTAACTATTTGGCATAAAGCCTTCCAATACAAAATCAACCTGTCAAATCTAAACTGTATTTACTGTCTTGTCAAAGAATGACCTCAGAACAGGTATTGGAACAATGACTCAACTCTGTAAATTGTGCTGTTTTATTTACAGAGGACAATAATACAGAATTATTACCTATTAAAAATAATTTACTGATCATATAGCGTTTGATTTATTTTTCATTTCTCTTGAAACCAGAGCTTTATTTTTTAAAACAAGCTTGCTTATGGTGGAATAGAAGTTGCAGCTTTCTTTTGGAGACTTTTGATTCATAAAATATGGCAGAGTAATGACATTAACAGTCATTGGAGACATTTTAATGCCAAATTCATCCATCCATATGAAAGCTATTTTTCATCTAATGACATTGTTGGGACATGGAATTCAAAGAGAGAACGCTTTCTTCCTTTGTGTAAGTAGGAAAATGAAGTATGTTTTAAGTACACTTAGATGGACCCTTAATGTTTTATGAAGAACCTATTCCATTGGACGGAATCAAATTATTTTAGCAAGCTTCCCTCTCCTACTTTATTAATTCTTATCTGATACATCCTTCAGAAATTCAGTACTTTATAAGATCGTGAATGTATTAGGCTATGCAATTTGGGTTTTTTTAAGCCAAAATACTACAACCTGCAATTTATTGGGTTTTTTTCCCATTTACTGTAAAATCTTTATATGCTTTTTATGTAACGTTCAAAAATACTTTGATTGTTTACTATAAGCACTTCATTTTGTTTTTTCCCATATAATGCTCTTCTGAATAGGTTAGGAAAAGATAGATGGTGAGTTAATTAATGGAAAATGATAAGCAAAACAAGTAATTAATTTACAGGCTTATTTCTACATTTGCAGATGTATTTCTACATAACTACAATACTGCTGCTGTAGTTAAAGGTATTCATTTTCATCACTGTTGTTGAGGTAGCTCAGCTTTACTGCTGATTTCCATGGTCCACTCTCCATGGTTCTTGGCATGAGTATGTGGAAGTTCATTTTTCTCACTCAGCCAATGTGTGGGATCAAAGTGGGACAAGGTGGCTGGCATAATGTAGTAGCGCATATCCCAAACTGCTACTGGTTATCATCAAAATGCTCCATTTTATTTGTTTCTGACTCAAAAGCAGTCACACTTGTGCCAGTTATTTCATACCCCTTTAATAATTTTTAAAATGTGGGGTTTATTTTTATGGGAGGTCTTTGTAAAAGGCAAATAAAACATTTTGGTTTGTTCATGTTCTCTTTCCATTTTTCTGTGCAAATTACTGTTGAAACCATTGCTCAATTCATTTTAATGAGAAAGAGGAGAAGAGATCTCAGAGATTATGCAGTTTTTGTTTAGCGTAAATTTTTGGCTGAAGAGAGAAGTTAGTGTCCATAATGGGAGGAAAAATACAGAAATGTGGAAGCATGGGGTCTGTTTTGCAGCAGGGGTTTTTGTGGTGGAGGGAGAGCACATCAATAAGAAGGAGAGCTTTTAACTGTGCTCTCACAGAACTTTTCCTGTTAAAGTTTTTAATGAGGATGCTTAGAAATAACATGTCATTTGTCAAACAGACAAAGACCAATGCTAGGATAGAAGGGAATAAGCCTAATAAGTGTTCAAGATGAATTATTGTATCACATGTATGATCTATTAATAGGGGAGAAGAAAAGAAATAAATGCAACATCTTAATGACTTCTGTGCTCAGTGGGAATAATCAAGTTGTCAGCTCAAAGTAGTGAGTATGTTGTTTTTATCAGTGTGCTGCTTAAGGGATGAGATATTGGTGCTAAATTTAAAGCAAAAAGTATGAAAACTTGAATTTTAATGCCTGATTAAGTTGATTGTTTATCTAACCCATTTAAATGTCTTATGTATCTTGCATTAGCTTTGTTAGAATCAAACCTTATGGTTGGCTGGGAAGTAGTCTAGACTTAGAGAGCCAGGCATGAAGATTATAATAGTTGAGTTTTGCCCTGAGCCCATGAACATTAGGTCATTGTTTAACTACATGTGTAGTTATTTACTTCACATAATTATTATAGGTGTGAAGCTTAAAAAAAAAAAATAGGAAATCCTGATGTAAAGCACTGTGTTCTGAAGTATTTTTCTAGTGGTAGTGATGTTGTCTTTTTAAAATTGTGTTAATGAATTGAATAAGGTATTCTAGATATTTCCACATAAGGGTTTTGTTTGTTTGTTTGTTTGCTTGTTTTACAACATCCAAAATTCGACTACCATTTCTTTTCTACACCCTCACCTTTTTAATATGGAGACGCAGGGTTTATTTCTAAGCTCTAGTCTCAACCAGAACACTGTGATATTGAGTGCTGCACAGCTCTGAAAGGATTTCAAAGGACAGGGGAGTTATGCTTGCAGTAGTCCAGGCTCTCTCTGCAGGGAATGCAGAGAGAAAGGTGAAATAATCAAAATAACAGACTGGTTCTTTGCAGCACCATGCTGAAGTAATACATGCAGTGAATTATGCTTTTTCAGCCTCACAGTAATTAAAATAAAAGGATATTAGCTTGGAACAGTTTTAGCTATATGGATAGATGGGACATATTTCTAATCGCATGCAGAAAAATTTGGCACATCTTCTGTATAGTCTTGCCAAAGTCTATGAGAACCTAGAGAAATTTAAATGAAAAACAATGTCTAGGTTTCCAGTCAGATTGTGCTAGTATGCACACTCAGAAAGTCGGCATTAGGAACAGCCTTGTTGGTCAGGTCAAGAACTTTGTTTTCACCACATTAAGTTTCAGCTGAAGGCAGTGTCCAAGAAACAGCTAAAATTGGAATTGAAGGCAGTTCTCAGGTGGGGGGGACAAACCTGTGAGTCATCAGCACAGAGATAGATGGTGGCTGAGTTTGTGTTGGCAGGTGCTGGATCTCTGAGCATACAGGAGAAGAGGACTGGTAAAAAAGCTCAGGGATGGTGGTGTACAAGGCTCCTACAGCAACTTTGAAGAAAAATGCTACTTTAATGTTAAATGAACAGCTAGAAACAGACTGCAGCAAAATGAATGCTTTGTTCTATTTTCATTTGTAAGTTCTTTAGCTTTACTTTTGATTTCCACTGAATATAAAATACAAAATGTAAGGCTAGAAAAATTCAGTTCCTCAGAATTTTGCATTTTTTTTCTCTCTGTCTCTCTCTTTCAAATAAAAGAACTCAGTCCTCTTTAAAAGAGAACTGGTATGACACAGGTTGTAATGCATTGTTAAACAAATGTAATAAATATTGGTGCCATATTCTGTGGCATTATGGCTTCAGGATTTTACTGGGTTATTACTGAAAATTTGTGGTATCAAAGATGCAATAACAACATGACATGCACAAGTGAAATCTGTTTTAAAAAAATCCAGATAATGTTTTTTTTATATTCTCCTTTTTCTGTTTTCTTCCCTCTGAAGCTAATGCAAAACCAGTTTAGTTTCACAGCTTGCCTGCACAAGCTGTGATAGATTTTGTCTTTGTATTTCTCTGAAATATACATACAGAAAGATGCAAAGTTCCTTTAAGAGGGTAGAACTAAGTGTTCTCTTTGCTGTGTCTTTGAAATCTAAAGGTCATCAGATAAAAAAGAGATTTTGCAATTTTTATTGTATTTTTTAGGTACTCTAATGGTTTCAGAGTGCAGGAGAGATGAACTGCTTCTTAATAAACAGTTTTAATGTAGTGGTTTATCAGGAGCTCCAGGGAGAGTTTCAGAATATTAGGTGTTGTTGACCTACCTGCAATGTTTGCTCTAAGAAACTGGGTTTGTGGTCTCCTTGTCCTCTGAATTTTGGCTCCTGTGGAGAAGGGGCATAAGATTTACCAGGAGAATCTCATCAGACCTGTTCTTACAAGTTGTCTCCTCCCTGGTGGCTGTGAAAGGCTGTGTGGGGGCTTGAGCTGTGTTTGATGACTCAGGCCAGAATATCCTCCTACCTCTTTGGGGCTGTGTTGCTCCTGGGGAGCTGAGAGTCTCTCTGAAGACTGGGGAGGCTGTGGGGTGGCTGGGGGTGTACCAGAGTCCTCTGGAGCTTAGAATTCCTTGGTAAAGACAGGGATAGTTTGGCTGGACATAGTAATGTCAGCTTTGCCAGAGTATTGGCATAATGAGAAGTTGTATTTTTTACTTATTTTGTAAAAACACATATCAGACTGCTACACTTTAGGAGAGCTGAAAACTGCAGTGGAGGACCCAAGGTCAGATTGGAGAATGCTGGTAGGCAGTTCTTGTGTGATTGTTGGAGATCAGATTGTTGTTGATGATAAAGATTGTTATTAGAATGCAGGAAAGGAGAACGAAGTACATAAGTACTGAAACATTCTAGAGATGTTGCTCTTAGTAAAATGTTTGTTTGTTTGTTTTTCAGTTCGAGCAGCATGTTTTTGACAGCAGATAACTGGAAGACTGGTTGATTGCCATACTAAAATGGAGTATTTACCAGTGCAGGTAAGGCAGTCTTTGAACAGCTTTTTGCAATTTTGTTTCTCAGTGTTGTTTTGCAGTTCCCAGTGCAAGTAGCTAGATTAATGGCAGTGTTACAAAATCATTTTTCTGAAAACAAACCTGGTTTAGGAGGTTTCTGTATTTCCGGTTCACTCTCAGGTGCTCTGATGCAGCTGCTGTAAATTAGCACTAAAATGATCGATTTAGAAAAAAAAGCAGAAACAAGAAACAAAAGAAACATCTTTTTTTTCCTTTAGACAAACATTAAAAATATGTTATTCTGTGATCTGCTTTGTATTGTGGCCTCAGAAAAGATTAGTTTGGGTAACTAAAGAAAGTGGTGAGGTGATGTGGGGACAGCATGGACCAGCCAGGATATATAGGAGATTTTCCAACTTAGGAAAGTAAGAAAACCCTCAGAAGTATGAAGGAAAGGAAAGGTTTGGCCCTCAGTGTAGGATCAAGTGCTCTGAATACTTTTGATTATAGAAATACTGTTTGGATTATAAAAGTTAAGTAGCTGCCAGAACTTTAGAACCCCCCATTCTAATTTGTGTATTAAGTTATTGTCATTTATTATCAGACCTTCTGGTATGGGTTTCTGTGCTGCATTAAACTACATTTCTCATGTAGAGAGCTCCTACTGAAGGATTCTTTTGTTTCTTAATGCAGTTTAATATCTTGGTTTCCAAATGCTAATGATGTGCTTTAAAATACAACAGTAAACTCGTTAAATATTAAATTGAGTTGTGGACTTTTGTTGTAGATGAAGCTTGTGGAGTGCAGCTGTAAATTTGACAGGAATCTATACAACACATACCTCTACATGAGTTCAGTTTTTTTGTTGGCTTTTGTATACTTAGTGTACAAGCTTAAGACATTGTCCAAGTTGAGTTTCTCCTTTAAAATATTTATTCACTGCATAACGCTTTCTATTACATAGTTCACAGGACTGTAAGTGTTCTGTACCGTTTTCCTTTGCACTGGTATGAAGGACTTTGGCAGAAAAGTGGTGATGCGATTTATGTCAGTCCAGGGCAGTGAATGTTCCCCTTCTTTCAGTTTTAAGGTGCACGTAGAACAGGCTGATGCGCAACAAAGCAGAAGCTATTCTCGGTGTTCAGCTGGGTGCCTGTGGTACACAGCACTGCTTGCTGGATGTGCTGTTCTGTGAACTGTGCCACAGTATTTCTTACTGGTTTTGCAGTTGGTACTGGAGCAAGGCATAGACACTGTTTTTTCCAAATGCTGTTTGTAGTTGAGCAAGAGCTGTGTTACTGGATTAAAATGCGTGGTCTTGTGTCATGCAGGCCTGTGGTTACTGGACCCTGTGCTTGGTCTGCAGGGAAAAATTGCCTGCCAGGCAATTTTTAGTGAACTGGCTGGGAGTGCTAAGTAAGCTCAATAGAGAAAGAAGGGAGGGAGTGGCCCCAGCTAGAGCCATATTATACACAGGAGGAATACCACAAGTTCACTGGACAGACCTTTTGGCAGTCATGCAAGATGTGGCTCTCTTAAGTTTTGGAGGTTTTTTTGTTGAATTAAATCATTCATAAAATGGACCTTTGAGCTTACCTAATTGGACTGGTTCTGGGTTGTTCTGAGTTTTCCTGCAGGGGACTTGAGGGACCCTGATCGTGGCCCAACAGCAACCACAGGAGCAGTCTTCCCTTCACTTAATGGAGGCAAACTGTTCAGGGAGTCAGCACTGCTCATTGTGCCGGGACACCAGAGCCTTGTCATGTCTTCCTCTCATGAGAATGTAGTTTCATCAAAATGCAAGTTGGGTGAGACTGCCCCATGGCATCCTTAAAAAGATAAAAGATCCTTTTGCTTTTCCTTCAGTGCTTTAAAGTGGCTTCCTTCTGAGGTACCGGACAGTTTCATCCATAGTGCACAAGGTTTGTTGCCCAGCAGCCGAGGGTCACAGTTCTAGGATCTCTGGATCTCTGCTCTGCGGCAGGTCAGGTTTCATTTGCAGAATATACACTTGCATTTTGGTAGGTGATGCCCATCTGATAATGCAGTATTGCAGCCCCAGAGAATTACAGTGCAGAACGTTTTGTATCTAGCTTTAAAGACTACAGAGGACCTCCCTATACAGTACTATAGACAAAGCAGTGGAAGAGGGAATTGCTGCAAAGCCCTGTAGGCTGTCACTGCCAATCCTAACACTACAAAACTGTAGCAAAACTTGTGGCACCATTCAGTTAGTCTCTTGAAGTCCTTTGATTGAAATTCAAATGATGACAAGTTTTTTTAGACAAGCTGGGTTAATAGCATCATCTAGATGCTGTAATTTTGATCTTGTGGTAAGGGCCCTTGATCCAAGTTCTTCATGTTGTCCTAATGCAGCAAAATTCCTCTTCCCCCATCCCCTATTACATTAATAATGTACTGTTCCCTTGTTTTTGTAAAATGCATTCAGAGTCCCTGTATTGGCTGTTAAACCAAGGTCAGAATTAATGTTTTGTTTAGGGTTTAAAATCTACACCTGTGTTACAATGCTTGAAGTCTTTCAGCTCCTCTAGAGTGAGTACAGAAAGGGAAGTCTTATCTTGAGTCATATCCTAAGACAATTTAGTTGGTAGGCTAGAGGTTGTGCCCCTAAAGGTAACTTTGCTTTCAGCTGACTAATACCTGCTGCAGTCATGACTTTTTTTGCCACCTACTCTGTTGCAGTCTCAGTAGTGCCTGCTACTTCACACACACCCAAATGCATGTTCAAAATTTTAGAAACAAAACCACCATAATCCATTCAAGCTCCAAACAATGTCTACTGCTTCTACATCAGAGCCAGAAAATCTGACTAATGTGCATGAAGTACACCCTGCTCAATTTTTTTTTTGTTTGCTTAGTCCTCAAACCAGACAGTGCTTGCAGAAACTGGGAAGTTTGAAGACAAGTGTTTGCAGAAGGTGTAGTGTGTTTCATCAATCTAGTGTTGAAGGAAAACCAGCAGAACTTAGTAAAATCTGTAGGATTTTAATGTAGGTATCAGCAGGCAGTTGTAAAGTAGCAGGAACTTACTAGTCTGTGGCTGAGGATGACAGTGAAAATTATCACTTTACTACCAAAAAAAAAAATTGACTAAAAACAGGCATGTTGCCTTCCTTAACTTCTGCCTTCCCCTGGAATCTTTCAGTCTAAAGCTTTACATGACCTGGTCAGACACTTTCTCTTTGCTGTTTGGCTACACTGTTAATTCAGCTGTTGCTGTCCTCATGCCAGAGTTGAGGCTCTGCTGCCTGCACAGACATTCTGCACCAACAAGGGCTGGAAGCAGCCCATGCTCTCTTTCTCCTTGTCAGAGAGTATTCTTCCCTCTCCAGCCAAGAACCCGAGCAGAGCTGCAGTATGTAGGTACCAGTAAGTGCCAGGATTGTATTATGCTGACGATGTGTTGTGGTGCTTCTCTGAGAACACTTGATTCCTTCACAAGAAAGGTAGAAGTTACTGTGAGCTGGATTTGGTACATCCTGTATTCTTGTTTACCTCAGGGCCTGCATATTTAAGGAAGCTGTGCAAAACTGTGTGTAAGCATTGTTCTTTTTAGGACCAGATGAGCATTATCCTCAGCTTGTGTTCTAAATAGTTTGTTTTCTCTTTTTTTATTAGTAACTAAGGTGCTGACAAGTTTTGACTTCTTCATCCTCATAAACATGAGTGAAGTTCAGGCTATGGTAGAATTCTCCGTGGAGCTCCACAAATTCTTCAATGTGGATTTGTTTCAAAGAGGGTAGGTAGCAAGTTCTTTCAAACTTTACTCTGTTGGATGGCTGTTGTTGGAAAAACCTTAATGGGTACTCTGTCATGAAGTGTTGCTTCATGTTACTGACTATTTTTATAGGGATTTGAATTTTTTATTAGTCTGTATTGGAAAGTCATACTCTTTCTAGGATTTAAAATTAAATATTAAAATTTTTTTCTTAAAGCATAATTTGTAATACAATATTTTTGTCTAATTGGAGATGAGGGAAAACATGTAGATATGAAGAGTACATTATATTCTTACCCAGGCCTTTACCCTTGCATGTCTTAATTTCTGTAATCCCTTTTGTTTGAAATATGATAGGTGTTTCTCTTCAATATTTTAAAAATGGTTTTGCCCCAATTAACCTACTTGTTTATCAGTTTGGCAGTGGAGAATTTCACCAGCCTCTCTCCTCTCACTGTGCTGTGCCTCCAGTTACACAGGACTCCATGCTGCCTCTTTAGACTCTCCTGACCTCCTCTTACTCCACCTTATCTCTGTAGAAGTCTTTTCCACATTCCTTTCATTTGATATTATGTGATTGTCCTAGATTACTTTCTAAGGTCCTTGTTTCCTATGGCTATGCAGGAAATAGTCCTTGGTAGCTTATTTTTGGAGCTATTAAAGATTATTGGTCCTTTAGTGTTGTGGTACATTAGCCGTCTGTCAATCCTCAAGTAGACCACAGTAAAAATGCATGTTGGAGTTTAGGCCACGTTAGTGTTTGCAGAGACAGAACAAGGTGTATCAGTGTTGATTTCTGATAGCTGCTTTTTCCAAAACATTGTAGAGTAACTTTCCTCAGAAACAGTGATAAGAAAATACATGCGTGTTTTTAGCCTTGTCTTAGTTCAAGACTGGGGTGGGTGTGGGTGTGTGTGTGTGCATGTTAGTATTGTTTTCAGTACAGTTAAGGGGTTTTTTTTGACAGGACTGATGACCCATTGTGTTTGCTACTATATGCAATCAAAGTATATACAACAAACTGACCCTCTTTAGGGAAAATTGTAATTTCACTCTTCGGTGGAAGAGAAGGATTAAGGTCCTTAAGGCTTAAGAGGTCTGTGAAAACACTGAGAATATTCTAATTACTTTAACAAAAAGGCACAGTCTTTTGAACTGTAGCCTTTTTTAATCTTTGAAATGAGTGGGCAAGGAGAGGGTAGAACATGGCAGTACATTTACTTTAATGGAGAACCTGAAGAGAAGAAAGTGTTGGTTGTCTTAACCTTACAGTTCAAATGGTTCCACAGAAAGGTAGTTGAGAAGCAAAGCACAGCAATATAGTTACCAGTGCTTTACCTGATGTATTTCTTTTTACCTTACTCTTGCAGTAAGCTAAAAAAGCAGTAAATTCACAGGGCAAGTTCAGAGAGGTGGAATGCTGACATAATGAGAAAAATGATGTGAGGAGATAATAACTTCTCTGGTTTCAAGCTGAACCTTAAACTCTGGACACATTCCTGTAGAAGTTAATGTCAGGAAGAAGAGAGAACTTCCAGAATAATTTGACAGACCGAGAAATGTGCCTATTGCAATTAATTCAATTTGGGCAGGCTCCAGTATTTTTCTAGGAAACTGTCTTTGTGTTTATATGAGACCATATGTAATACTTCTGTTGCTGCAGGAGCTCTTGGATAATGGATTGAATGAGCAGAAAAGGAAATCTTTAGTTTCATTGTCAGCCTCCTATTTTTTATTGTTTAGCATGGTTTGTCTCGCCAAAATCAAGTACAGAATTGATTGTATTGTGTGCGTGCAAGCCTTCCCAGCATGGCGTGCTTGTCTCATGGAGTTAGAAACATCATGACCTTCTGAACTGTGTAGAATAAAATGTCAGCTTTTGCAAGTAATCACATCAAGTTCCTTATTAGAACTTAGCAGATTTTAATCCAAAGTATTTGTTTGCAGAGTCAGTCCAGATTCTCGCTCATTTGATTACTGGAGATGTCATCATTCCCAGCCTAAATTTCTTTCTGATCAGTTTTAGTTGTTTTTCTTTACAGCTTTGTCTTGTGAATCACTCTATCAGTCTGAAAGTTCACCCTTACGTATTTTAGATGTCTTTTGTTCCTTTTACTAAATATGAACTAACATGAGTTTGGTCATTGGAATTTGTGGCATATTCCCCGCCCTCCCTTCCTTTTTTGTAGAGTCCAGGCAAACCCATTTTACTCTCTTCCTGCTTTTATAACTATTTGAAGAAATCTGCCAACTCTTGCATCCAAAGTGTCTCACGATTTCTCAGATTTGTATCTGTAGTGGCACTACAGTTGCCAGAAGCACTTATGACAGTGTTTACACTAACAATTAAATTGGGTGTTTAAGGGATGAATTACTGAAAGCAGTGCTGATGTCCATACATCTGTGTGGTTCCATGGCTACTTCAGAGTAGATTTTAACCTCATCTTCTGATGAGGACCAGATGTTTTGTATCATGAATGTAATTTGAAGTTGTTTGTATCAGTAGTTGGTTCAGAGTGTTCTGTGCCCGCAGGGGCTGAAGTGCATTTTGTGACAGGTAGAGATCAGAGTAGTTTGGCTTCCTTAGGAGACATCCAGGTTCTATGACTGGAAAGCTCTCAGTTCAGTGAACTGAACCAGCATGCAGCAAACTGGGATCATTGAGGAAAGTGCCTCAAATCCACTCTTTTAGTCTAAACTGTAAATAGTGCAGACTGAGCCAAAATTTCTCATAGTATTTTACTCAAGATCATATTTATATGAAGGGTTATAACTATATTATCCTCCAAAGCGACCCTCTAAAGCAGACTATTTTCTTTACTTTAAGATAGCTTACTATTCCAAGAAGGGGTAACAGACAGTGCATTGTAATAAAATATTTTTCTTACATATCCAATACAGCTATTTTGTTATGTTTTCTTATAACTGTGCCATTTGCTTTAAACCCAGCTTCTGGCTCCATTGGTTTATTTTTACCCAATGGCTCCATTGGTTTATTTTTATCTGTTATTACATTCAAATAAGGCTTCACACAATTTGTTTTGAGCTAGTGAGATGGGATGGTAGGAATTTTTGCCCAAACAGTGCAATCACTGTTGATATGCGAGTATTGTGTGACAAAATGAATTAAAGAATTGTATTTGTTTGGGGCCTGTGAGAATGATAGTCTGAGATAGTAAAGTTTCAGGCTGTTTTGTCATGTTAGCTCATAAAAGTTCACACCAGTAAGGTGTGGGCTCTATAATACTGATCTTCTATAAAGACAAAGGAAATATAACATAGCATGACTGCAGAAGTGGAGTATGAATTGAGTGGAAAATTGGTTGGATGATTCGGCTCAAAGAGTTGTGATCCGTGGTGCTAAGTCCAGCTTAAGGCTGGTGATCAGTGGCACCTCCCATGGACTGACACTGGGTCAGTAGTCTCAGCAGTCTTTGCATAGAATCATAGAATGACTTGGGTTGGAAGGGGCATTAAAGGTCATCCAGTGCCAGCCCTCCTGCTGTGGGGGAGGCACCTCACATTAGAACAGGTTAGAGCCCTATCCAACGTGGCCTTGAACACTTCCAGGGATGGGGTGATCACAGCTTCCCTGGGCAGCCTGTTGCAGTGCCTCACCACCCTCTGACTAAAAGAATTTCTTTCTAATACCTCATCTAACCCTACCCTCCTTCAGCTTAAAGCTGTTCAATTTCAAAGACTTTGCTGTAAGAACAGGTTGCTTACCCCCTCATTTACATATGTTTTGTATGTGTCAGCATACATATATATCCTGAACTGAGATATAAATGTGTTCAGAATGTCTGATTCCAAGCAACTGGTTACTGAAAGTGCCTCAGTACTTTGTAGTGCTCAGTTGAAGTTCCCATGTTCCACCATGGGATGATGGGTCCTGATGTCTAACTTGAGACAGTTACGCCTTTTCTGTGGGTAAGAAGAGTTTCCTGGTAACCCTCACCTGTGACAAGATGAGGATTTCATTTCCTTGGAGCTGTGTATTGCTTTTTTACCTGTAAATGGCAAATCTAATGAGCTAAAGAGACTTAGCTAGTAGTTTGTATTTTAGCATAGTGCACACATTGCTGCAAGATCTGCTTTGAAAACAGCTTTTATCTACATTTTCCCCATCTCTGTGCCTTTTTATAATCCCAGTGTTAAGTTCTTGCTTTCTCACTAATCTTTTGTTACTTTGTCAGTAGTATGCATGCACAACAACTGGCCAAAGCTGGGTTTGGAATACTTCTAATACTTATGTCTCTGTTTTGTTTTTTTTTTTTTTTTTTTTTTTTTTGGGTACCGTTTTAATTTGTAAGGTACAATACCTGCAGTTTCATTGTGGGTTTCAGAAAAAGAACTTCCTAATGGTTTTTTTTGGCAGCGTAAATTTGTTGTTACATAAACTATGAAGAGAGGAAGTAAAATAAAGTAGTAACAGTAGCTCTTTATTACATATTTACTGCTCAATGTGTCTTAGTTTTCTTTTATTTGACTTTGTTTTGGGTTAAAAGATTCTTATAAAACCACATGAACTTACATTAGTAATGTAAGTCTACCACACTTCTTTGAAGTCTTTTTGCTTTTATCGGTTGGGTAACAGATGGAAGAATAATGCTAAATACCTTCCACAGGAGAGACTTTGGCAGATTCTAACCTAAAAGGTATTTTGGAGATGTATCATATCTGAAAGGTTATTGGTAAGATTGCAGTATAAGTTGCTTGTGAACTTAAATCCTATTAAAAGTCAAAAGAATTTAAGTTTTGGAGATTACTGAAAATTTAGCCTTATGATACTCTTCTGTTCCATAGATTAATGTTTTTCCATGTGTAGATACTCACTGACATGTCTGAGCAGCATTGACATTTTATGCTTCCATGCATGTGGTTGTGTAATGTAGCTTAAAAGAAAATAACACTGAATCAGAGTATGAAATTTAATAAATCTTATTATGATTACTCAGTAATGTCATGAGAAATAATGCAATGTATAAAGAGCTGCATTGTTTTCTGGATCCAGTGAGTTG